AGGTCAATAGGTTGCACTCATCCTTTCACCCACCTTCTAATTACTGGTGATTTTAATGCCCCGGGTCTTGACTGGCTCACAGCCTACTCTTCTGACCTTTCTTTTGGCCGTCCTTTTATTGATCTAGTACTAGAAAACTCCTGGAATCAACACGTAGACCAACCTACGAGGTTCCGCCCAGGTCAGGCTCCTTCATTGCTGGATCTCATTATAACGAATGATGACAATCGGATCAACGTGGTAAATCACCTTCCACCTCTCGGAAAGAGTGATCACGTAGTTCTGCTGTTTGACTACATTATAGACTGAAAAACTGGAATGGAATTTCCACAAATGGTCAGATCGTTCAAGCACTCCAACTTCGGCTCCTTACGAGGGTTTCTTAGGGCACAGTTTCACGACCTTCCCCTGGACCGGCCCGTAGAGAATCTTCCAGAACACATCGAACAGATCGTTACTTCAGCTGACGAGCGGTTCGTCCCCCGTGTTCTCGCAGGCCTTAGTTCTGATGCACCTATCCCTCGGCACATTCGCAGGCTTTTAGACGAGCGGTCTAGAATGTTTGCAAGATACAAGCCGACGGAACTCGAAGCTGATGGACTAGCCCTTAAAAGACTCAGGAATATCTGCCGCTCATATATTAGAGAGTACGAAATGCGTACTCAAAGAGCTATACTTGAACGGTCTCAGAGGAACAGACCGTTCCTTTACAAGCATATCCGTCGACTGCGCAGTACAGTTAACCCCTCTCTTGCTCTCAAGTTACCAGATGGGACAGAAGTAACTGCCCCTTCACTGATTGCGGGTGAATTTAAAACGCACTACCAGATCATCTTCAGTTCCGCTCCCATCACTATCCAACCAAAACTACAACCCTTTTCACTAAACTCTACGCTTAGTCGCGNCAGATGGGACAGAAGTAACTGCCCCTTCACTGATTGCGGATGAATTTAAAAAGCACTACCAGATCATCTTCAGTTCCGCTCCCATCACTACCTACCTGATACTACAACCATTTCCACTAAACTCTACGCTTAGCCGCGTCACCTTTTCACTGTTAGACGTAGAGAAAAAACTACGGAACCTTAACCCTTAGTGCTCTGTGGGGCCTAACAAAGTGCACCCTGGAATTTTTAAGGAATCGGCGGATATCTCAGCTGGCCCATACACCCGACTCTTCCAACGGTGTATGGATGAGGGAATATTCCCTCCTCGCTGGAAAGCCGCAGTGGTACGCGACCTCTTCAGCATACCAACCTGTACAAAGTTCTAAGCTTCTGGTTAAATAGCGATCTCTCTTTTTGATATCATAACCAGTTAGCCAGCAAATCTGCCTTCCGTGTTCTTCACCTTAGTCGAAGGTCTTTCCCCCATATCACCAAGGAGGACTTTCCACTTATTTATGGCACCTATATCCGTCCCCTTCTAGAATATGGTGGTCAAGTTGTTCATTCCGGTCTGATCCGTGATCGTGATGCTCTCGAACGAGTTCAAAGAGCGGCAAAAAAAGCGGTGATTGGAATGCAACACCTTCCCTATTCTGACTGTCTAGTGGAGCTTAATCTCTATCCTATGGAAATCAGGCGAATTAGAGGTGACTCATTTCTTCTACACCACCTGTTCTCCTCGGGCCTAGTTGATAAGTTCTTCACTTTAGCCCTCACGAGTGGAACACGGGGCAATAGCAAAATGCTATACAAACCTCAACTCCGAACCACAATTTGCACATCCTTCTTTACCTTCAGGGCAATTTCGCAATGGAACGCATTACCAGAAGAGAGAGTTTCTTCAACAAGCAAAGCGTCATTCAAGTCTCGACTTGATAAGTATCTAAGTCTAGTTGCCTCCTCCTGAGTCCTCCTATGAAAAGCTATATATGTATTCCAAAACAAAAACAAACAAAAAAACAAATTTCTATTATTTATTTTACTTCAGCCCTTCTTAGGTATTCTATGCCTGCCCATTTACTATAGCTCATTGTTACGTTTATTATTAATGATGCCAGAATAGCCCACGGGCAAGAAGGTGTATTGCCCCTCCAGNCCGGTTGCATCTTCCAAGAACAGAAAACAAGAAACCATCAAGGATCCGGGACCATTGGGCGCCAGCCTCGAACCCGAGGGTCACTTCAAGACTTCGAGACATTTCCTTGAAAGACGAGACTTCACGGTCTTCACCGACATACACTCTCCACGAGAGTCACGACACCTTGATTACATCACATAATATACGTGCGATGTACGACACATCTCTGGTGTCAACACCCGTGTCGCGGACGTCTTCTCACGCATCCACCACCTGAGAAACCCTTACCTAAAAGCCATTGACTTACAGGACATAGCCACAGCGCAAACCGACTAGAGTGATAATAAGCGACTGCGCAAGCAATCCACGCTCCGCATCGCACATCTACCACTTCCGTTCTCAAACAACAAAGTTTATTCCGACGTCGCCCTATGTCACCCTAGGCCAGTATTCCCACGGACCTTACGCAAAAAGGTTTTTGAGACACTGCATAATTTGTCACACCCAGGCACCCGCGTCTCAGTAAAACTGATCACTGATCGTTTCGTGTAGCACAACGTCAAAAAGGACATCCACCAATGGGCACGCCAGTGCTTGTCCTGCCAACGTAACAAAAGTTTTTGTCACACAAAGAGCCCACTAGGTTCGTTCCCTGCCGTCGACGAACGTTTCCGTCACATCCACTTAGACTTACTGGGACTCCTGCCACCATCGAACGGGTGTATCTATATACTCACCTGCATAGATCGTTTTACCCGATGTCCGGTAGCTGTATCTTTGTTCTCCGCCTCCAGCGAAGTAGCGGCACAAGCCTTCTTAGAGGGGTGGGTAGCTAGCTTCGGTTGTCCTGCAGTAGTTACAACCGATCGAGGTTCTCACTTCCAGGGTGTTTTTGCACGAATACTTAAGAACTTGGGCACTCACCGCGTCCAGACGACCGCTTACCACCCGGTAGCCAACGGATGGTCGAGCGTTTTCATCGACAACTGAAAAGTGTTCTGACAGCACAGACGAACCCAGACTGGAAGGACTGTCTACCCTCAGTCCTCTTAGGTTGCAGATTAGCCTTCAATGCTGATTTGCAGTCCACACAGGCAGAGTTGACTTTCGGTCGCACATTGCGTCTCCCAGGAGAAATGATGGCACCGACCCCATTAACTGACTTCAACTACGGTGATTATGCAGCTCGTTTAGTAATAATAATAATAATGTATATTTCATGAAGCCCGTGAAGCATGCACAGAGCAGGATCATATGTTCAAAATAGTCATATGTACATCAAAGGTGCGGATATATAGAAGCTCCAATTAGAGGATATACACAATGGAGACGGCAGGGGACTGGAATGAAAACGCAGTGCAAATGGAACACAAAGTGAACAAGGTCGCATACGTTGATTTGGAGGATGGAGGAAATTCACTGGGTGAGCATGTCAAACGGAAAAGAAAGGAAGAGCGGACCTTGTATCAAGAGGATTCGACGTGCGAAATTCATGGGAGGAAAACACGGATCGATTGTCTGTGAGACTAAGAACTAGAGGAGATGGAGACTCGTGGATAGAAATGAATGGGAAAGGGGGGTACAGCAAGTTTATACATGTTTCTCTGTCAGCTGCATAACAGCTTGCTTCTGAGAGCACATTCATTTGGGTTTCGGGGCTACGATCGGCAATGGATTGATTTAAGTTGTTTAGGCGTTGGTCGCTTTGATGTGGGACTGACTACACGCTAGACACTCAACCTTAAAACACCTTTTAGGTAAGGCAGGGTGTGTGATCCGCAACTTGGTCCGGAATGCGGACGCATGTAATTTGAACGGTGGATACAACCACGCGCAACAACCATTGCCGGAGTCAAATTGTCCATTGTGGGTGCAGACCCCAAGCCTTCGGCAGGCCCAAACCAAACGATTCTGGAACTAGAAGGCGATACACAATAGTCTGGGATGATACCCAGCTGAGAAGGAGTGGGGGAACAAAACATGTCACGAATAATATGCACCGTGGAATAATGCCAAAACGTATATGTACCTACGAATATATATATATATATATACTGAATCCAAGATAAAATAGGTCAAAAGCATGCACCTACAGGGACTTTGTTCCACAGATCTAGCTTTGAGGCTGGATCCATGCACTGATATGAAATTGTTTAGTACATCGTATGCGACAGTTTCATATTCAACTATCTCATCAGCAAACATCCCTAGACTACCTCCTCTAGATTAGCCGAATGCTCGCATGTTCTTCTAAGGGTAAAGGTTCACGCACCTCAATACAGCGGCCCACATAAGATACTGCGGCGCTTTTAGAAAGCCCACGTAATAGAGCGCAACAGTAATCGTGAGACCGTCGGTATTGACCGGCTCAAATCTGCTCACCTGGAGGAAACCGTCCCTTCCACTAATCGCCCCTACCCGTTGCACCACCCGAAACTACCGTTTCGACAAGTCCGGTTCTTTCCACCC